AACTATGATCCACCATAGGGAGGGATGGAGAAGGGAGGAGTAGAACTATGATCCACCATAGGGAGGGATGGGGAAGGGAGGAGGAGACCTATGATCCACCATAGGGAGGGATGGAGAAGGGAGGAGTAGAACTCTGATCCACCATAGGGAGGGATGGGGAAGGGAGGAGTAGAGTGATTATTTTACACTCTTCTTAGGGTGTGCTCCTCCCCCACTAGTACCAGAGCTTCTGCACAACCCTTTTCAATAAGTGACAGGTCTTGGAGAATCAGGGCTGGAAGGAAGGGGAATATCAAGCAGAGTGTGCTAAATTCTGTCTGGAATTAGAAGGGGCCTAAGAACCTCTGATGTGGTGCTGTAGGATAAGCACTGAATTGCTGACCATAAGGTCGGCAGTTCAAACTCACTAGCTACTACTTGGAACTCCTCTACAGGGTCACTGTGAGTCAGAACTGACCCTACAGCACTTAACAACAAGAAGAAATAAATCCATAGAATTAAAATGTTGAATAGAAAGATCTCTAAATTCACTGGCTAAATAAATTAACCCTTAAGGAAAATTTGTATCTATGCCAAAAAAGAAACAAATAGAAAAGAGAGAAAAGACCTATTCAAAGTTATCAAATAAACAATCAGCTTTAGAAGTGAACCCAACCATTTTCCTGACCAGGGCAATTTCCAACAGACAATACTGAAGCTCATTAGCCAGCTCTATCCTTTCCTGCTGTTTTCGTTAGTTCCCCAAGAGCAAACTCCCTCATGCCTTCTCATAGTTGGCAAAGGTGACATACCTGGATAGAAAGTTTTCCAAAGACTGCTTCTTGTCTTCCTTGCAAACAATGCCCTCCTTCTTCTGCTTTTCCATGTCTTTGATTCGAGACTGGAAAGTATCGATCAAATCGAACACAGACTTCATTGTTATTGGCACTTCATAGTATTGCTGTTTAAGAAAGAGTAGACAGTATATGATGCATAAGTTGATTTCTTCTCTCTGATCTGAAGATAGAAAACCTGGGAGAATTCATAAAACTCAGGAGAACTCTTAGAAATCAAACCTAGAATTCTCATTGATTTGAAACTTTCTCCTGCAATACAATAGTTGCTAACTACTCTGAAGTCCACCCTCTGATTCATGGCGACCCTATGCACAACATAACAAAATGCTGCCCAGTCCTGTACCATCTCCATGATTGGTTAGGGATCAGACCATTGGGATCCACAGAGTGCTCATTGGCTAAGTTCTAATTTAGATCAACAAGCTTTTCTTCCTAGTCTTTCTTAGTCTGGAAGCTCTGCTGAAATTTGTTCAGCGTCACATAACACACAAGCCTCCACTGGCAGATGGATATGTAATGACTACAATGAGGAGCATTTGATGGGAATTTAACCTGGGTCTCCCATTTGAAGACAAGAATCCTACCACGGAAACACATCTGCCTCCACTGCAGTCAGCTTCTGCTAATGTTGTGAGGTTCTGAAACCATGAAACAAGTATTACTTTTCAGGAGGATTTCATGTGTTTTTCATTGGAAAGGGTCCATGTCTTCCTCACCATACAATTCCTAGATTCACTTTCTTACCTCTGGGATTAAGCTGGTCACTATACAACTGGAGGGGAAGAGAGAAACACTCTGTCTAATGCAGAAAGCAAATGGAATAACATGTTAGAGTATCAGACCTGAGCAATCAGGGCAGTTTTCCACAGGAAGAAACCTATTCTGTGGTTATCAGGAGTCTCCATGAAGTCTTTATTATTCTTAAAGATTATTTTATTGAGTGAACACTCCTTAAAATTACATCTTACTCTTTTTTTCATAAACAAATGAACAACAATGAGATTCAGTCTCCTGCATCATAGCTGTATGGATTTATAACAGCTACCCCAAAAGGCTAAACGAAACCAGCACAAATCAGACAGCAGTGTGGACAAGGCTTGGAGCTGGGCCCACAATGAGAATTCAGTAAATTAGAGACTGTTAGCTGACAGGGGCCTTGAAGTTCTAGTTCTACCTCTTACATTAGAGATGGCACAACTCAAGTAAAGAATGAATTCACGAAAGGTGTTCTCTCCAGCTACATAAAAATATTGCAAGTTGAATCAATTATTTTTATGACCAAGGCTTTTGCCTAGAGATCCTCATTTAAGCATGGCTTACTATAGTAAGATACAGTGGTAAAGATAGTTGAAGTCTAACACTAACTGAGTGAGTGTGGGCAAGTACCTTAATTATCTAGGCCTCTGTTTCTTCCTCTGTGAATCAAAGGATATATAAGTAAAAAAAAAAAAATCAATATTTATATTCATCTTAGAGGACTTGTGATAAGAATTGTAAATGGCTAAGGAGAGACACTGGCCCAAGAAAAACACTCAATAAAGTTAGCTACTTTTGTTAGTTATTATTATGTTTACATTACAGAATTGTTAATGATCCAGGACCTTTGTCCCTAAATATGGAAAGAAAGTGTATGCAAAATCCTACAGTTTTTATCTATGATGAAACAGGAGGTAAATTTCTAACCCTTCCAAAGCTTGACCAGTATTAAATATGATTTTCATAAAGACAGAGGCAAAATATACTTCACCATTTATTCCTAGAGTTTGGCACATCATAGTGCAATAAGTGTCCAATGAATGCATGACATTGATATCAGAGAAATATCCAGTGTGAATCAAGAAGCTGGGCCATAGGAGGTCAGAGACCAAATTTCTGCCACAAATTTTATAGAAGAACCAAGAATATTTGGGTCATTTAAAAATTTACGTTTTAGGAAATAATTTGAGCAGTTTAATTATATGTCTAATAATCTCATTGACATAAACAAAAAAACAATGAGTCTCAGTTTTATGTAACAGCAGCACATCAACCAGAACAAGAACCCATACCTTAACTCTCAAATCCACGTCTGTCAACACCATGAAGAAATCATTGTAGGTCATTCCATACTCTTTCCTCAGCTCGCTGATGAGATGCTGGTCTACCAAATCCTCATCACCCACCACGCGCATGGGTTTCTCATTATCTTAAGGCAAATGAAATGTGAATAAGTCTGGGTGCAGGGTTTCCAAGAAGCAGGAGTGAGTATTCTGGAACACTTAATTGTGTTCATGGGGAGCCTGTACATAGACCAAGAGGAAGTTGTTTGAACAGAACAAGGAGACACTGAATAGTTTAAAATTAGGAAAGGTGTGAGCCAGGGTTGTGTTTTTTTTTTAATAATTTCTTTTCAATCTGTATGCTTAGCAAAAAATCCACGAAGCTGGTTTTTATGAAGAGAAACATGGCAAGAGGGTTGGAGCAAGATTCACTGACAACCTGCGGTATGCAGATGATACAACCATGCTTGCTCAATGTGAAGAGGACTTAAAATACTACTGATGAAGATAAGACCACACAGCCTTCTGTATGGATTGCACCTCAATGTAAAGAAAACAAAAATCCTCACCACTAGACCAATAAATAACATCGTGATAAATGGAGAAAAGATTGAAGTTATCAGAGAGTTCATTTTGTATGCACTAACCACTAGCACTCATGAAAGCAGCAGTCAAGAAATCAAATGATGTATCGCATTAGACAAATCTGCTGCACAAGATCTCTTTAAAGTGTTGAAGAACCAAGTTGTCAGATTGAGGACTAAGGTATGCCTGACCCAAGCCATGGTATTTTCAATAACCTCACATATGAAAGTGGGATTATGATGTAGTGGCCCTATACAGGGTTTCTGAGGAGTGATGGGTGGTCTTGAACAACTGACCTTGGTCCAATTATGAGTATTTAATTTTATTTACATTGAAATGCAATCTATACTGAAGGCTGTAGTCTTTGACCTTCATCAGTAAGTATTTCAAACCCTCTTTGATTCCAGTAAGCAAGGGTGTGTCATCTGCATATTGCAAGTTGTTAATGAGTCTACCTCAATAGAGCTACCTCAGTTATGTCTAGTGCTGTCTCTGTTATAGCAAAATGCCTCAAAAGATAGAGAGGAGCTACCACCAAGATCTAAGGCAAACTTTGTTCTACTAGGGTATAGCAAGAAAACAATGTATGGTCTGTGTTATTCTTTCAAACAAGATAGTTCCTGAACTGTTTCTACCAAACATTATATGAAAATTTCTTCATTCTGAGACTACAGAAATGACTGAATCTTAAATTAATGCTTGTTCTGAGTAGGAAAATCTGCCAAGAATGATAATAAATGCACTGATCAACATTTGATCAAACTAGGAAGAGAAGAAGCCAGAGTTGACAACAGACTGAATTCTGAGGAAAGTATATGATACAAGGCCAGCTTCTCTCTCCAGTAGCCTCTTCTGCCGCAAGTCTCAGTTACACTCTGCATCCTATTATCTGTGTGAACAAGAGGGTCTCCTCTGTTTGCAAAAACAACAGACTTTTGACAGTTTTGTGTCAAATTTATCCAAGATCTACTAAAACTAACTTTCATTAAGGGCTGCAGTGCTTAGGAAAAAACTGTAAAAACAAATCTTATAAACTGCCCACATGTTCTTAACTCAGCTAAATGATTCACAGATGAAAGCCAATGTGGTAGGATTTGGTCATTCCACACAACCTATCCCTCATGCCTAAGATTATTGTGGAAAGGGATAGTCATGGAGAATGAACTCTGTTGCATCTGGTAAGAACCTACCTCAGAGTGAAAGCGAGATATGTGCCCCCAAACCCAGAAGTCAGTAGCCAATTTTTTGTCTCATGTATTTGTCTATGTCTGACTATAGACAGCAGTGATACCTGAACTCAGGAGAGTTCAGGCTCAACTACAAAGTCTTAAGTACCAGTTGTGTGCCAGGTGGTGTGTTCAAAGCTGCTATTGCTTCTCTGTGGATTCTTCCCATCAGGTCCTCCCCTTCCTAAATTCAGGCCATCCACCAAAGTCCTTGGACCACTGGCCTCTCCCATAGTTACAGTCATTCCCAATCTCCTCTAGCAGTTTTTCAAAGTATGAACCACATACTCTATGGGTACACAGTAGAACTGTGCTCCATAACAATTTTTCAGTGGCTGGCTTTTCAGAAGTAGGTCACCTGGTTTTTCATTGGAACACCTCTGAGTGGACACAAACCTCTTGGTTAGCAGTTGCATGTATTATAACATTTATACAACTCAGGGTGTCCAATTTGAGAAGACATAGCATGTTTCTTTTCTAAATTTAGATTTTAATGTAGTAGATCTTTTAAATGAAACATTTGTAAAGTATTGAAAGTATGATTATCCTATTCAAGAAAGCCATACAGATTAAAAAAACAAACAAACAAAAATCTTTCAGTTGTGCTTTGAGTTAACTTGGAGGAAACTATACTACCAGAGCTTAAATGCTCTTATCTTAAAAATATCTATCCCCAGGATAACTGAGCAGTCAGTGGTAGTGGTGGTTGTGTACCTAGGGGTCGGTTTCCTAGTATATGGTTTCTGAGGCTATACATCTCTATGGAGCAGAAAGCCTCAACTTTCTCCCACTGTGCAGCTGGTGGATTCCTACTGTTGATCTTGCCATTGGTAGCCCAACGCATAACCCACCATGCTACCAGGGCAATAGTGGATTCATTTCAGTTATGATAATTCTGCTTTCAGCTACAGAACTTAACTTCCCTTTGGTTGGAAACATAAATTCAAATGACTGTTTGTGTGTGATCTCCTTGCTTCCATTTTATTTTATGAATGGATCATTACCTAATGTGAAATGAGTCATTGGACTGGATCCATAGGTGGAGTAACCTGGTCATTCCTGATCTCAAAGCTGCTGCTCTTACTTGGCCCCTAGAGAGAGCAACTTGTCAATCAGTGAAGTGTCTCCTACCGAAGCATTTTTCTGTTCTACAGAACAAATCCACCAAACCTTAAACACTATTTTAAATGTATCTAAATAATATAGTCACAAATCTTTGTTGCCTTTCCATGGTTTAGCAAATAAACTCTAAAGTCTTTGTCCATTTTAGAAGACTTTAGACTCTTTAGAGGCTTCTAAAATCAGATGCTAAATTATATCACTACACCTCTATTTCAATTCTATCCTTGACCCAGCCTTCCACTCTAGATCAAACTGAGCTGAAAATCAGAAAAATCTGAATAATAGTTTTAAATGCAGAATCCTGGACTCTGTCCCCAAGCTAATGAGTCAATATCTTGGATAGGGAGAGAAGCTGGGAGTCTCAATTTTCACTATAATTTATATAAAGAGTACCAGTAAAACTGAGATGAAAAAGATCAATGACTCACTAGGAACATGAGCAAAGGGCACTAAAAAATAAATGCAAATGCTCCTTAAATATATGGAAAGATGCTTAATTATACTCATAAAAAAGAACAATGCTACTATTCTACATTGAGATACCATTTTTCACATATCAGATTGGTCAAAGGTTTGATCACACACTCTATTGGAGAGGTTTAGGGAAATAGATACCTTTATATTTTGTCCTGGTGTGGCACTTATAGAAAAGCATTGGACTGCTAATCTCAAGGTCAGTGGCTCAAGCCCACCAGCTGCTCCTCAGGAACCCTATACAGGGTTGTTATGAGTTGGAACCCACCAACTTGACAAAATTTAACAACAGCAACAACATACTTCATTGATGGGATTATGAAATGGCAGCATTTGAATGGAAAGAAGTCTGGAAATATACCAAACTAGATACATTTTCCATTTGATCCAGCAATCTTACTTCTTAGAATGTATTTTAAAGATGAACCCAGGTACATAGGATGGCTTGTGTGTAAGGTTACTAACTGTGAAATTGTTTTATAATATGACAATAATGAAGATAGTCAAAGTGTTTATCAACAAGGGTCTGGTTAAATAAAGCTATTCATAATGGCTTAATTAAAAATGACAAAGATCTCTACATACTGGTATGTAGAGACCTACAGGAAACACTTTAAATAAAAAGTGCAAAGTGTAGAACAGCATACATAGTATATTACATTTTGTATAAAGGGAGACTTTGGGTAGTACAAACAGTTAAGTATTCAACTACTAGCTGAAATGTTAGTGGCTGGAATCCACACAGAGGCACTTTTTTACCCCAAAGCTCAGTTCTGATGCTGTCAAATGATTGAACCCAGTTAAAAAACACTCCAGATGAAGAACGAGAAAAGCCTTTATTATTATACTATATTATAATTGCACTATATGATTATATTACATTATAACTAACTATTATAATCATACTATATTAAAACTTTATTAGTATACTATACTATAAGGAGCTCTGGTAGCGTAGTGGTTACGAATCGGGCTGTGAACCGCAAGGTCAGCAGTTCGAAACTACTAGCGGTTCCGCGGGAGAAAGATGAGGCGTTCTGCTCCCGTAAAGATTTATGGCCTCGGAAACCCTGTGCAGGGTCGCTATGAATCGGAACCAACTCCAAGGCACTTAACAACAATAACAACAACAACAACAACAATATATTATAACTACAGGAACATCCGCTGCAAAGAGGTGTGTTTGGTGTTCGAAGGACATTACTCCCAGCACTTTTTGTACTACTTCATAAGGTTAGTCACATACTATATGCAAAGGGGGTTACAATTCGAACATTCACACTGTTGTTGTTGTATGCCGTTGAGTCACTTCCAACTCATAGCAACCCTGTATAAGGTTTCTGGTGAGTTTGATCCACTGACCTTGCAGTTCAAACTGACCATGAAGTCGGGTGCTTATCCTACGGTGCCATATCAGGACTCCAAATTCATACTAAATTGCACTATATCATGATGCTCCAATAAGCATCTCAAGGAGGGTATGACTACAATCCTGGTGCCTCTTTGTCCAGATGGTCACTCCTTATCAGAACAGGGACCAGGCTCCAGGCAAAGCCAGACAATTATTAACATTTCAAGTTAAAATACTCAAAACATACATTTAAGAAACAAGGCAAAGTTTAGGGGTGTATAATAGATGCTTTCAAGCAGTGCTTGATTATATGTATTTTGGTTGTTGGTTGTTGTTTGCTGTTGAGTATGTTCCAACTCATAGTGACCCCGTATAGGGTTTCATCTTT